ACTAAAATCCGAGTTAGTCAAGCTCTTTCCTCTTATTCGGCCGCTTTTTCTATTTTTCTACAGTTATTTCCAGTAGACAAAGTTTACTAAATTCGCTCCCCTTACTCCAGATATGATTTGTTTCGTTACTTGTAATTGGCTCCCTAATCTCTGCCTAGCTGTGAAGATTCCATGACCTGGAAAACATTGGGTTTCAGACAACTATTTAATGGCGGCCCTATGTTCAACCACTTTCCATTTCTGTACCCATAAATCCTTAGGGGCTGCTTTATGTTCAGATAGCCTCTTAGGTGATGATGCCGGTCAAATGACTGATGAAAGTGTAGCACGGATTTACCGGTTTCCCAGTACGATGAGCCGATGCCTTTTTCGCAAAATACAGAAGTCATAAGTCTAATCTTCCTGTCTCCGTGGAGGCCAGCTTAAGAATCCTTTTGAAACTACATGAAAGGTATATGAGATGTTTAAGGTGACGTAGGCCTGATAGTTGAATTTTCCCATAACGATATGAATTGCATATGGCCTCAAAGCCAAACCCACCATTAACAAAAATTAAACCAAAAGCACTAAGCCAGAGGAGGTGTCCGGCTTTCCCACAAGTTGTTCTCATCCAAGTTGGACTGTAGTTTCGATCTCACTTAGGTCTTATCCCCCCCCAGAGAGAGTGGAACCATGACAGCGCTGCGTGCAAACTCAACACGATAACTACACCAAATTTCCACGAGTGCCCTCTGGGCACAGGGAAGCTATGAAGTTCAAGGAAGGCCAGGCATTTTCCAATGCCACATTTTTTGGTGGGAGTGTCGATGAAGCAAAATTATGCTATCGACTACATTACTAATTCTTCGTTTATAAGCAGGTTTTCGAGACTATCTGTAAATCAGTTATATGAAACGTGTCGAGCTTACATGCTGAACTGTCATGGTTCCACTCCCGCTGAGGGTGTTGATATGATCTAGGCAAATTCGAAACTGCAGTTCGCTCTGGATGAAAACAACTCTTGGGAAAGTCAGGCTATGCGCAATTAAATGGAAACCTTTGCTCTACTCATATCATTGTGGGAGGATTTAACTAATAGTCCTTCATCACCTTAAACGAAATAGACTGATTTACTGGTAGTCTTGAAATCCTGCTTATAAACGAAAAATGAATGAAACGGGCAATAGCTTTAAAGATTTTATATGGTTTGAAGTTGAATCTGATAACTAGTGCAAGGTGTTCGTTTAAAGCTAACTGTTCTTTCATCATGCTTAAGTCTTCCCTTACGTCTTTCACATTTTCTTGCGAAGGTTGGAAGTTGCATTTGCTGATCGGAGAATGTGTCTTTTAGATTTGAGTTTTGGAATATATAGGTTAATCGGATCAGGTGCGTACCTACTACCTAATTCCTTGTTATCTACCTAGGCTGTCTGCCACCTTTATTAAGATCGGGGGGATGGGTTGCATCATTTTGGTACAACCGGCTCTTTATTGCTAACCACTAAATTCTCCTTATTCACCCTCCCCTTATATGTCTTATCAAACATCAGAATTTTTCCCGCCTTCCGTACTCAGTGCTCATCAATATTGCTGGCTACCTTAGTCCCATGGATGTATTTAGTCTGGCTGAAGCTATACATTGCCTTTTGCCTTCTAGCTGCAGGATTCTGACACTTGAACAAACATGGATGCCGTTGAATGTAGGCAACCTACGTCGCATACTAGCATTCACACGGCCCAAACGGCTTCGTCTTAGCCCAACAACTGGGCTCCCAGAGGCACATTGGCCGGCATGCCTTATCGCCTGCCTTTCTGCTCCCTTCGTTTCTCGCCAAAAATCCATCCTTTCTAACTTGTTCAGCCTCGAGCTTGACGGTTATGGTCTTACAGTATTCCAGCTCCGGCAAATACTGGCGCCTGATGCTATCGTCATTAAACTCCCTGCTCTTGTTCATTGCTCTGCCCTCATCTATCCGGAATCCGACGCCCAAGTTAGTCGACTACCTCGTACAGACTCTGGCGCCTCTCTGATCAGTCCCATCGCCTCCCGCTTGACTTCTTTAAAGCTTGAGTTAGTCGGCCTTTCGGCCGAATTGGGCTTGCCAGGTTTTCTCTTTGAATTATCTTCTGTTTGCTCTCTTACAAGTCTATCATACTTGCTAAAGACAAACAGTCAACTTCCTTCCTTCTCATTTAACCAGATTTATTCTTACGATGCTTTTTTGGCAACTCTTAGCACTCTCTTTATCTCAATTGACACTAGTTTTTTCAAATTATTGCATTCTACTCTTCTATATAAGCGACCTGTCCTCCTAGACAAACTTGTTTTATCCGCGGACACCTTTCGTTCTCAGATGCATGAATATATCTCTCAACCCAACACCTACTTTTGTCTATTCTCTGTACCTCTGTCCCCCGTTCCCATATTCTTCCATGAAATTGGCATTCTTGAATCTACTTCACATGGACTCCTGACTTGCCAAGATGCCTTTCGTGAGGATAGTCTCACGAATGCCAATCAGCTGATTCTTCACCTCGCACCTTGCTCCATACCTCATATCGAGAAGGCATCAGTGCTTGATGCGATGGGCCATTCAAATGACTGTGAAGAAAATAAATCTTCGGTTCTATGGCTGGCCAAAAGTGGCTATTTACGGAATATTACTTGCCTAAAAGTAGAGTGTCCTATGCCCGAGAATGCCTCCCTCAATCAGGGCTCTGCCGCCTGTAATAAATTTGTTGATTATCTGCACGAACATTTCTCCTTTTATATCTTCGTCCTCCGACCCCTTTTCGACTTCGGTTTTTATGTCTATTTGACTCAACTGTCTCTACCAGTCACTCTTCTGATTGCACTGGCTTCGCTGCCTGTTGGTCAACGACACCTGCTTTTCCCTACGTCCGATTCAGACTGTTCTTTGCCCTCTGGACGCCATTTCTCCAATTTGATCTACCTTGCTGTTACCTCCCATCCAAGTAGTGAGCTGCGCTACTCTACTTCACATTTCGTGCCTCCAGCTTTCTTATCTTCTTCCCCTTCTGACAGTCTAGATCTTGATAACTGTCTCCTTGAGATATGCAGGATCTGCCCTAAACTCGAAGAATTAGTTGTCTCTCCTCTGCCCAACTTCAAGGTAGTTAATCTATCATCTCTTTGTGTCTTATATTATATATTTTGTACTATTTTATATCAATATATTTCATGCTAGCTCTAGTGTGACTTTATGAGCTTTATGCAGGGAAATTACTACAGTACAGATAATCAGAGTCTAATTGAATTTTATGAAGTGTAATCTACATCTAGACTCTTAGTAGCTCATTTTGGTTTATTTAGAGTTACGGTAGTGATAATATTAGGCTGCTTGAAACACCATAACACCATAATACCGATATGCATATTATGCATATGCTGCATACGTCTCCAAAGCTTTAAGCCCGTTATTTAGGTGTTGGGATAACTTTGATTTTGTGTCAAAGTATGTGATGAGAAGATTCAAAGGTCCATCCAACTAGAAAACGCTCAGCCGTTCGCTTTAAGTGGGACGATTAAAGGGGTTTGGCTCTTGACCCACTGCTTGGATTTGTCATGAGAATGATATATGTTGTATAGCAGACCTAAGCTTAACACATTTTCTCTAGTGCCGAAGCAGGGTGTCTCGATGAATACACCATTTTGAACATTCTTAAAAATCATACATCATCAGACTAAGGGGAATCCGTCATCATCTGTAGAGATCGGCTCACGAAACTTTTCATCACATACTCTTACCAAATGTATGCAAATTCAATAATGCTATAGCAAAAGATTCACCAAGACCCATTTAATTCGGCCATCGCAGCATCATCTTCGTTCATGTACTGTAATAAGACTATCTAAAATTTTTGGATATGTAATTATTTGTTGTGCGTCGAAATGACTCAGTCAGTGGATCAGTATATATTCACTATAGTGTTCTTAAAATAAATGCCAGATTAGCTTGGTTAAAATATCGTCCAAGCACACTAAGAAAATATCTGAATTAATATTCGAAGAAATAAAGGGACTGTATATTCAGAAAACTTCATCATGAAATATGAAAATCTCATTCCTATCTGGTTTCAGGATATACTAGCCAATAATTACTTACTAACAAGGTTGGCATCACTATTGTAAGTGGCCAATATGCCTACTCTTTCTCGATTAATAACTATTTTCCCACTTTATTCTATCCGAAAGTTATTTAAAAATTATAATCCAGTTGGTTTTTCTGATATGACAAAATTTTCCATATCAGTAACTCATGAGATACAGCATAAGTCAGAAGTGCGATGACTAAAAGTTGGGGTCAAGCTGAGAAGGCATTCAGAACGGTTGGCAAATATTTAGAGCCTTATACGCCCGGCTGCATAATCCCTGGCAATTTATTATGCAATATAATGTTGTGTTTATTTTATACTATTCCTCGTTTGGCTTCTGAAAATATCTCTCTTAGTTATGAAGGCCTGCTGCTTCTTCGCCATCTAATTTCATTATTTTGATAATTTTGTTTTTCTTTAAGGAGACCTAGAGGGAACTACTTCATCCTGTGTCATCTGTCATTGTTGTCATTTATACTTCTGGCAGAAGATCGCTGACTGGGTACTTTCTCATATGAACTTAGTCACCCTAGTTCCTATAGAGTACCTTTCATTTCGTTTGGAAAGGCGAATTTAAGGGATTCGTAGGTTGGACTCATCGGAGGCTGTAGCGGGATTGTCTTGTAACCGTGACTAGATTTGTGCCCTCGGCGCGCCGCCCTGCGTTCCCGATGAACCCTTGATGAACTTTCGTCTGTCATGTGACGAACATCATCAAAGCAGAAAACTATGCTTAAAGATAATTCTTCAAAACAGGAAGACAAGAAAGATGACCGGCTTCAAACCTACCTACTACCTATTGTGTAATGTGGTACACTTAATTAGGCAGCTCATATTTTGGTTGGATATCCTACGTTCTAACAGGAATCTACCATGTTTATGGTTGTGTGACTGTCAGTGGAGCAGGACATGTTCTTCTTGTTTTAGGGAGCATGGGTTCAAATAAATATAAGCGAATCTTATTAGCTAATATCGCACGGTCAGCATAGGAGCTAAGGCTGAAAATTTTTGATCGATTATAAAATAGAAGATAGGCACACCATCTTGGTTGTCATATCTACGATATAAAATAGAAGGCTTGAACTATATGAGAACATTTGAAAACAAGAGACGTGTGACTAAGTACCAATGGATGACATTTTGTTTTTAGTTTTGCTATTAAATAAAAATTGTGTACTACTGTTTGCAAAAGCCTACTTTCTTACTCTGTATCTTGTAGAGGTTATTTATACCTAATTGAAGAAACTTCATGACAAGGTATTTTGCCTTATTTTTTGTGTGCTTAGTTAACTTGGCACTGCGATATTCGATGGCCAAGCTTGTTTAAAAGTTATCAATGCCTGTATCATTAACTTCATATGTTATTTTTGGAAATTTATATTTATTGACTCCACTAAATTATCATCCGGATCTTTTTATTTTACCTAATCTGCGTTCTTAATGCCAGTGATTCCGCTTTAATTTGATCCGAATTGCTAATTTGAGTTAGTCTTCTTAGATTTCGTAATTAACCGTTTACACCTGGATACATCCACAGCATACGATTTTACATAATGTAAACGTATCTTTCTGGCAATTATTGAAGTCAGACGTTCGGATAACCTCATATAGATCTTGGCATTACGCTTATTGTGACGAAAATACTAAGTGTTTATTTGAATTGAATAGGATTTAGAGACTATCGGTGGACTAACTAAATGCAAGAAATTCATAAATCATTTGCAACTAATTTTTTAAAATATTTTAATTATACCGGTTGTAAATAGATGAGTTAATATGCACAATACCATTCCTTTTTATCGTACTCATCCGTATGCTTTTGTTAGCTTTG